AAAGGGGGCCCCCGGGGGGGGGCGTGCCCCCAGCCGCTGGGCTGGGGGGCCCGGGAGCGGAAGGAGCCCCCTGCAGGCTTCGGGGCTCGAGAGCCGAGTTGGCCCCGAAAGGGCACAAGGAAGCCGCCCCCACTCGGGCTCCCCCACCCCCGGCGTCTGGCGGGCTGCGAGCGACCGGTCCGCAGCCCGGCGCCTCCTGCCCTATCCCTCTCGCGATTTGGGGCGCGCTGTTGAGGTTCCTCGGCTCGTTTTTGCGGGAGGGTGCTCGGAAGCATGATTGCCCCCAGAAACACGGAGTTAGCGAGCCCCCGGAGCGGAGGCTCCGGACTGCACCCGCATCGCGGACCTTCGGGCCTTCGAGCCAGGCCTTTGTGCTGGCGGGAAGGCTTGCCCGCCGTGCCCCGCCGGCGAATCACCCGCAGCCACCGCTTCCTTTCCCGGCGTCCACGCACCCCCTTGGTCTGCAAGGGGGACGCCTGAAGGACCAGGGCTGGACCTCTCCTCCAGCAGCCCCTTCAGGCCCGTGTGTGGGCAGCGAATGCTGGTAGACTGGATGGGTTTTGCTCATTGAACTCGTCGTCCTAAAGTTTCTCAGAAGAGCATCTAGTTAGTTTATTAAACTTTAATCCCACTTGCGTATGAGGCTCTGAAATGTACGTAGGTACCACTTGGAAGTTGAAAAGTACTGAGATGGGATTCAGAGTTCGTACGTTTACCTTAGACGTCGGCACACGGGTCAGTGTAACATATGCAAAGAGAAGAAAGAAATAGAAGACGGACAATTCTTGGTGTTTGGCATTGAGAAATTACACTTTGTGTTACCGTAGTGTATGGCAGAATATAGGGCAACCAAGCCTCAGAAGATGTAGGTTCTAATTTAAGCCTTGACCTCATGGGTGTCAAATTTGGGATAAACTGCAGTTTCTAGTTTTTTTTGGGGGGTATATCAATGAAGAGGTGTGCCCTCATGGGTTTGACCAATATTCTGAGATACTAAACTTTGAGTATGAGGGGTGACAAACTTGTGTCTTGGAAAAATGAGTGTTTGGGTAAAAGATAGATTGGGAGGGGTTTTATTTTTGGACTTTTTTTTTTTTTTTTTTTGAGACAGGGTTTCTCTGTGTAGCTCTGGAGCCTATCCTGGCACTCGCTCTGGAGACCAGGCTAGCCTCGAACTCACAGAGAAATGCCTGCCTCTGCCTCCCGAGTGCTGGGATTAAAGGTGTGCACCACCAACGCCCGGCTCTTTTTTTTTTAATTAGAAAATTATTTTACATGTCAATCCTAGGTCCCTGTCCTTCCCCTGTTCCCCCAACTAACACCCTACCTATCCCATACCCTTTCTGCTCCCCAGGGAGAGTGAGGCGTTCCATAGGGGGTCTTCAAAGTCTGTCTTATTCTTTGGGATAGGGCTATTTTTGGACTTTTGAGACAGGGTTTCTATGTAGCCCTCACTCTCTTGGAATTTACTCTGTAGACCAGGCTGGCTTCAAACACACACTGTCTCTGCCTCCTGAGTGCTAGGATTAAAGGTGTGTGACACCACTGCCCTGAGGAAAGGGTAACTTTTAAAGGTGACCAGTTAGAAGACTGTTTTAATAGTGTAGTTGAAAGATGCTGAGAAATCTAACATCATCACACTAGGAGTAAATGATGTCATTAATGTCTGGGATTGTTTAAATATGGAGAGTGAGAGAGAGAGACACTGCTAGATAGGATTTGCAGCTGAGTGGGAAAGAAGGTTGGGCAGTAAATAAAAGGAGTAATTGAAGAACAGGTTTGGTAGGGGAGATGCTGGTTTGGATGTGGTTTGGTTTGTAATGCTGAAGGAGGTATCTGTGGAATTTACTCAGCAGGTAATTCATAACCAAGGTTTGGAATTCAAAAGAAAAAGAGTAAAGAGGCAGGGAATTGGGTGTCATTTGTCATGTTACTTTATCCTCTGTCTATCCTTTGCTTTTTATATGCTCACTGGGAAACTTGTATGAAGTCCTTCAAAGTCATAGTAATGACTACTTTAGAAGTAGTCTTCTAAGTTCTTCAAGTTCTTCAAGTGACTTCAGGGTTTCTCTTGGGAAAATGTAAAATTAGCCAAGCATGGGGAGGTACACACCGTTAATCTCAATTATTATAAGGTGTAAGCAAGAGAGACCAGAACTTCAAGGCCAGCCTCAGAAACTTAAGAGTTCCAGGACAGCCTGGTTTATGCAAGACCCTGTCTGAATTCTACCCCCTCCAAAAAGCAAACACACACAAACAAAACTGATTGTGTATGTGACTGCACAAGTATGAATATACTAAAGACATTTTAATTGTACTTTTCAAAATGTGTGAGAGTGGGATCTGGAAAAATGGCTCAGCAGTTAAGAGCACTTGTTGCTCTTAGAGAAGACCTGGATTTAGTTCCAGCACCCCGAATGGTGATTCACAACCTTCTATAACTCCAGCACCAGAGGATCCAGCACCCTCTGATTCTTTGCGTACTTACATACTTGTGGCGTACAGACCACTTGGAGGCAAAACACCCATGCACAATAAATAAAAACTAAAAATCTTTTAAAAAGCATTTATGTTATGTGAACTGTCACAGTGAAACTTCAAGACCAGGTCTCACTATATATAGCCTTGCCTGGAACTCACTATGTAGAACAGGCTGGCCTCACACAGCTAGAGATGTGCTTATCTCTGCTTCCAGAATGCTGGAATTAAAAGTGTGTGCCACCATGTCTTGCCCAAAACTTATTTTTTTTTAAAGATTTGCATTGCAAAAAAAAAAAAAAACAAAAAAAACTTTACATTGCAGCTTTTGAAATGGGTTAACTGGGTAATGGAATTGGAACTAGCAGCAGACCTGGCTTATGTATTTGCCATTGTACTGTTGGCTAGTTAGTGTGCTTTGAAAGCTCCATGTTACAGATGGAGTCCACTTGATAAACCACTGTGCTCTAGAACAGATTGTTTTCTTTTCATTTTGAGATATGATCTTGATGTGTAGCTGAAACTTCCCTAGTCTCTTGCTTCAGTCTCTCCATTGCTGAGATTACAGATGCCTGCCACCACACCTGGCTCTTGAACAGATTCCTAAGAGTTCAACCTTTTCTAGTGCATTCTACTTTATTTGTTCATTAAGTACCTATACAAGCCAGAAATTTGGGTTGTATGACTGATTTGGTTACCATATGCATAGTGCAGTTCCAGAATATTTATTTATTTATTTATTTATTTATTTATTTATTTATTTATCTATTGTATGCAGTGTTCTGCCTGCATGTATGCCTGCAAGCCAGAAAAGGGTACCAGATCTCATTATAGATGGTTGTGAGCCACTGTGTGGTTGTTGGAAATTGAATTCAGGTCCTCTGGAAGAACAGCCAGTGCTCTTAACCTCTGAGCCATCTCTCCAGCTCATTTTCAAAGATTATTAAAAATTAAAATACTAAAATCAAAAGATATAGTAGGTAACACCTAAGGGTCTGTGAACTGTCATTTCTTAGTGATTCTGTAATTCAGGAATCTCAAAGTTGGATGCACTTTAATGATAACCTAAACAAACATCTGGTATCACATTGGCTTGTTATGTGAGCTGGAATTGGGGAAGAGGAATTGCTAAGCCCTTGAAATTTAAGATCAAATTTAGATGTAGTCATTCCCTATTTGTGCCAACTATTCATGCCAACTTGCTTATGCAACTTAATGTGATTTATTGACCCTTGGTTTCTTCCTCTCTTGAAGATGAGTGGATAAGCCATATTAAGCTGTTGTAGGCTTGAGGAAGGAAAATGTATGTAGAAAGAAAAATTGAGCATTTATGATACTTTGTTTTATGTAATAAGTAAAAGGAACATTTCATATATATCTTATAAACTAGATTGCAGGCTGCTATTAACATCAACAAATAAAACTTGAATTACAGTATCCTAAAAATTAGATGTGCTTATTTATGTGTGCACATATGTGGGGGTCAGAGGACAACATGTGAGAGTTCTCTCAGTCTATCACATGGGTCCTGGAGATTGAATTGAGGTTGACAGGCATGGTGGCCACCTTCACAAATTGAACCATCTTACAGGCCTAATTCCAGCATTTATTTATTTATTCATTTTTTTTCCTTTGGTTGTTTTTTCTAGACAGGGTTTCTTTGTGTAGTCCTGAACTCTCTCTGTAGACCAAGCCGGCCTCAGAGATCCACCTACTTTCCAAGCACTGGGACTAAAGGCATGTGCCACTACCACCTGGCTTCCAGTATTTCTTTTTTTCTTTTTTGGTTTTTCGAGACAGACAGGGTTTCTCTGTATAGTTTTGGAGCCTATCCTGGCACTCGCTCTGGAGACCAGGCTAGCCTTGAACTCACTGATATCCGCCTGCCTCTGCCTTCCGAGTGCTGGGATTAAAGGCGTGCACCACCAACGCCCAGCTTCCAGTATTTCTTAATGTCTGTCTTGGTCTAACTTTCCAGTCTACCATGGTATTAATGGGAAACATCCATCCTAGGAACATTTTTTACTGTCTTCATGGATATCAGTACTCCCAGTTTTACCAGTAATTACTCCAAATTAAGTGAATTCATGTGCCAAAGCACTGTGGTGGAGGGACTTAAGCAAGGTCTGTTCTTAGCATGGATAAACCTTAGGTTCGGTCTGTATGGCGGCCAAGGAAGGAGGAAAGATGAGAGGGCAGGAGCATGAACATGGGTTGCTTCTGTGCCCTAAGACACTGCCTTTGGGAAGTAGTTAACAGCCCACCCCACCACTGCTGTTGTGCTGGAGATGCTGCCTGTGTGCTCAGCCGTTGAGTTACACCTCTAGACTTTATTAAATTGTTTTTCTGAGAAAGAGTATCACTGTAGCCCAGACTGCTCTTGAATTTGCTATAGAGCCCAGGCTTCCTGTGTGCTGAGATTCTAGGTGTACACCACTATGTTCCTACTAGGCTTATGTTTTAAATGATTAAAACAGCATAATTACCTTTTAGAATCAAGAAAAGAAAAGTGAAGCAACACTGGCCTGTTATGCAATATAACTACTGTTAACATCTGTGTGGATTTCTTTTTACTTTGTCTTATGCTTGTTGTAATTAGTGCTAAAATGGAAAATAGACTTGTAAGACTTGTAATCAGTTTACTGTTGGGACTTCACAGTGTGTGTGTGTGTGTGTGTGTGTGTGTGTGTGTGTGTGTGTGTGTGATGTGGTGCTGTGAATCTAACCCAGTTATTTGCACATGCTAGGCAGATGCTCTACTACTGAACTATATCCCAAGCCAAAATGGTATTTTGAAGTGACCATGCCATATTTAATTATATATTGTGTGTATGCATTCAGGTTTTCTAAAAGGTAATTGTGTGTTACTTTCAGTTTTTTGTCTTATATTTTTGACGAACATCTTTGGGGATATAGGTTTTCTATATTTAAGACCTTTTTATAGCCAGGTGTAGTGATATCTGTAATCCCAGCACGCAGGAGGAAGAGGTAGAAGAATTCATTGACAGCTGGAGGCCAACCTGATCTATATGTGAATTTCAGGCCAGTCAGGGCTATATAGCAAGAATCTGTCTTTAAAGTGTGTTTGGGGGGGGGGAGCACCTTCATTAGAAGGGCACTGAAGTGGGGTCTGAAGATGTGACACTTTCGTTTGGTTCCCAGCATCCACACAGGGCTGCTTGTAACCACCTGAAACTCCACGGAGCCCCAGGAGAATCTGATACTCTTTTTGGACACTTGACACAGCAAGATACACATGCCTGGAATAAAAATGAAATTTGAAAAAGAAGTAGAAATAGTTTATCAAAGTATAACACTTTTGTAAGTCTTGATATGTACTGGACTTGCTCTTTTTTAAAAACTGTTATAGCTGAATTCTTTGCTTATGATTTTTAAATATAAAGGGATTCCTTTGTTTATTTAGCTACATTTTCCTACTGCTCTTAATGCTGTGTGTTTCTCTCTTTTACCCTGTTTTAGGTTAAATTGATTACCTTTCTTAAAGGGCTAGGAGTGTAACAGGAAGGTGTCATTGACTGTGAATTAGATTTGAACCTGTCCCCGAACAGCTACAGGATTTCAGAAGCTGAATCAATGTTATCAGATGAGTTAGAATCCAAACCAGAGGTGAGCCCACTTAGTTGTTTTCTTTGGTGGGTTTTCAGAATTTATTCTTAGTTCATTGGTCAGGAAACAACCTCTCTAGTGACTTAATAGTAAACATTTTTTGACTTTGTGAGCCAAAGTTTACAATTTTTCTGTTACTCAATGTTTTCTTAAAGATTTTACTGTTCTGTTTCTATCTTTTGTGGATTTTTTACATTTGCCATTTAGGTATTTAATGAAATACTAAGGTCTTTTATAATAAAAATATTCTATATCCCTAAAATGTATTTATATCATATAGTTGTGGTATATATGTGTGTATATGTATCAATTTATTTACACAATTTTTTAATCTTATATGTAATTGAAGATATTATTTTCTTTCTGAATATGATTGGGAGATTTAAACATTTAATAATTTCATTAATTTTCCCACCGTAATTTTAGTAAATCTGTGTTTCATAATAAGAACGTCACCAAATTTGAAAACGTTACTTAATTTTGAAGACTGGGACTTGTAACTAGTTAAGTCATCTTAGACAAGTCAGTGTTTTCAGATTGATTCCTCATTTGTAAAATACTTGTTCACTTAGGAGTTTAATATAAGAATTAATGAGCCACTATCCAGGAAAATGCTTTGTTAGATGTAATCAACACAGTGCAGTTGATTTTAAAAAAAGCTCATCATTTTAAAATACACGTTCATAATTTGGTAGAAAATGACAGATTAACTTAATTATATAAATCAAACTATTCTGTAGAACACACACCTTGATAAATGTAGTCAGTCTAGTTTTTCTGTGTATATGGCTGACATCAAAAACAAGACTGAATTATATCATCACTTGTTTGGTAATTTAAAAGTTGAGATTCATTCAGCATTGCTTCTTTTCCCCTCTTCAGCTCCTGGTTCAGTTTGTTCAGAATACCTCCATCCCCCTGGGACAAGGGCTAGTAGAATCAGAAGCTAAAGACATTACTTGCTTATCCCTCCTTCCAGTGACTGAGGCCTCAGAATGCAGTCGGCTAATGTTACCAGGTAAAATATGTTCACTACAGATAGGACAAAGAAGTCTGAAGAGTTTAGCCTATTCTGCGGCAAAAGTAGAATGCATAATTGATTTTGAAAGTAAAATTTAAGAGTCATGGAAAAAAGCCACCACGGAACTCCTAAGTGCCCGGAGTAGTTTAAACTATAGGAATCAGTATGTAAAAGTGAGGCAGAAAGACTCCTTTAGAAGCTACAGTATCAGGCAAGAGACCTGAAAAGGAAGACTAGAGTCCTTAGATAAATATCAGCATAGCCAGGAAGCATGAGACCCAAGGGAAATCTGTGTTAAAGGCCCCTAAGAGGCCAAGAGACAAAGACTGAAAGAAGGACATCATTAGCATTGGCAGAGAAAGGGTGAGAAACCTGGTTGGAGGAAAGGGTATAAAGTCTAGTACAGGTGAGGAAATATTATATAGTTTTTGTTTGGGGGTTTGTTTGCTTGTGTTTGCTTTGTTTTTAAGATGGTCTGGTTGTGTACCCATGTCTGACCTGGAACTCATAGTGATCTATCTGCTTCTGCCTCTGCTGGGGTTAAAGGCGGTGTGTGACCACTGGCCCTATATAATATAGAAAGGGCTTTCATTTTTTTCTTTTTTTAAATCTAAGCTATTTGAGGACTGCTTAGGATGTTAATGCTAATGGGGGAAGTCAGTGTTAGCTTTTTGATTGATGGATGATTGTTAAAAATTCTGATTTTTAACAATGATGTTCAGTAAAGACTAATGATGTTCAGTAAAGACTAAGATCTTTTAAGATTCAAGAAAAACAGATATATTCAACAATAAACATTCAAGTTTCCCTGTCCTGAGCTGGAGAGATGGTTTGGTGGTTAAGAGCGCTTGCTGTGCAAGCATGAGGACTGGGGTTTCAATCTCCATAGAACATAAAGGAGCTTGTCACCAAGCCTGGTGACCCTAGTGTGATCCCTGGAACCTACATGGTGGAGAGAAGTGATTTATGAAAGTTGTCCTGTAGCATAGCATGAATGTGGAAGCACATACTCTAAATAAATGCATGTAACAGATCAAAAACAAAGAATCTGGCCTGGCAGTGGTGGCGCACACCTTTAATCCCAGCACTCAGGAGGCAGAGGCAGGCGGATCTCTGTGAGTTCAAGACCAGAACTACAGAGTGAGTTCCAAGACAGCCAGGGGAGAAAAAAAAAGCTGTAACTGTCAACTGCAAAGATCTGATACACAGTTTTTTGAGAGGAGGTCTCGATGTGTGGCCCAGGCTGACCTTGAACTCAGAGATCTACCTGTTTCCACTTCCTCGATGCTAGGATTAAAGGTGTGAGCCAACACACATGGTTTGATACCCTCCTCTGGGCTCTACTCGTGAATAGGCATGCATACCCACATAAGAGTGTACACACACACTGAAATGAACCTTTTAAAGTTTCCCTGTTTGTTCACATCATTTGTTGTGTTTATAACAACATATTGTCAGTCGTGTTATCTGAATCTCTGTATCAACCTGTACCGAGATTTCTGAGTGCTAATAAATCTGTTAGTTAAGTTCTCTGACATTCTGAATATTCTAGTCCCAATAAAGGGAATTAAAATAGGAACAAAAAAATCCTTGCTCTATTACAATGATTATATATTTTAAAAAGGCGAAAGAGAACAAACAAGTGTTGACAAGAATGTGGAGAAAAGAAAACCCTCATGCACTGTTGCAGTTATGGGAAATTTATGGAAATTCCTCTAAAATAGAACTATTAGATGTCAGCAATTCTGCTTGTGTGTGTATCTCCAAAGAAATTGAAATCAATTGAATCAAATATTGAATACATGTGCCTTGATGTATGTATGTGTGGAGGTCAGAAGACACCTTGTGGGAGTTGGCTCTCTTTTCCCACCATATTGATCCCAGGGATTGAACTCAGGTTATCAGGCTAGGTGGCAAATGGCTTTACCCACAGCCATGCTATTGGCCCTCGTGTTTTTTGATATATGGTCAATACAGAGAAATATAAAGCCACATATGTACAGGTTGAGGAATAAATGTAAGGAACTCTTCCTGTATTGACTTCCCCAAACAAGAACAACATTAGCTTCCAAGCTAATAGGCTCTCCTTGACACAGAAACTTCCTTTCTTTAATGCATCATCACTGTTTTTACTTTTGTGATTTTCTTTCAAAAATTAACCATTCTTGTATACACCTGTAAGCAAAATATTTTAATTTTAGCTGGTTTATGACTTTAAATGAATGCAATGATGTAATCTCTTTAGTAGATTTTTTTAAGGTTTATTTATTATGTATACAGTGTTCTGTCTGCACATACCCTGCAGACCAGAAGAGGGCACCAGATCTCATAACAGATGGTTGTGAGCCACCATTTGGTTGCCTGGAATAGAACTCAGGACCTCTGGAAGGACAGTCAGTGCTGTTAACCTCTGAGTCATCTCTCCAGCCCCTAGTAGATGTTTTTGTACCTTGTTTTGTCTGTCTTTGTGAGGTTCATTCTTATTGTAGCTCGGGTTGGTAGCAGTCATAGTACCCTGTCATATTTACATACCACAACTTTTTAGTTAATGTCTCTGTTGACGATTGTTTTCCAGTATTGTGCTATAATGAACAGTGCTATTATGAATACTATGTTTTAAAATGTTTTTGGTGTGTTTGGTAAAATAAACATGGTACAGAATTGCCATTTTAAAGTTGTCATCAGTGTGTGGTTGTGTGAGGTGAGGGATATTCACATTAATGTGCAACATCATTAGGCCAGCATCTAATGAAAAATGGTGGTCCTGTCCATTTTTTTATGATAGTATTTGTCATCTGCTTAAAAGACAAAAAGGTGTTACCTGCCCCTTACAAAGATGAGTGAAAGCCTCTGGAAATATTGTATACTTCGTCACACAGTGTAATTCCTGATTATATAGAACCATTATATCTAGTTCCTATCCCCTTTAAATGTTAACTTTCATTTAAAATAGTTTATTTTTAAAAATTAAAAAATGGGGTGTTTTTATTTTTTTTTTATTTTGTTTTTAAGGCAGTCTCATGTAGTGCCCCTCCCCCTTAGTGCAAACCTCCTTTTTAGATTTTTGAGACTGGGTCTCTATGTAGCCCTGGCTGTCATGGAACTTACTCTGTAGACCAGGCTGGCCTTGAACTCACAGAGATCTGTCTCTGCCTCCGGAGTGCTGGGACTAAAGGGATGTGCCACTGTGTCCAGCTTAGAACAAACTTCTTTAGAGCAAGTGTTTTAAACTATTTATGCATATTCATTGTAAACCCCAAACTGTAGTGAAACAGACTAATCTACAAAATGTCGGTGGTTTCCCTTGCTGTTTCCCCCCTGTGATTATTCTAAGGCAGTTTTTGTATTTGCAAAAATGAGAACGCAGTATACTCTTGTAAGGTCCCTGGAAACTAAGTGGAGTTGAGCATCTGTGGTGCTATTTACTGAGAAGGTGCGCTCCCTGGAGGCGAGTGTTACATAAAGCTGTGGTGTTTCCCTTCACTAGATGATACTCCAAACCACACTAACTCCTCCAAGGAGGTCCCTTCTTCAGCTGTTTTGAGGAGCCTTCAGGTGAACGTGGGCCCAGACGGAGAAGAGACAAGGGCTCAGACTGTACAGAAGTCCCCAGAGTTTCTGTCCACTCCAGAGTCGCCTAGCTTGTTGCAAGATCTACAGCCAAGTGATAGCACTTCTTTTATTCTCCTTAACCTAACAAGAGCAGGTATGTTTTCATCTTTTCTGAACTCTATTCATTTTTTAGGGGAAAAAGTTAGAGTCGGTTCAATATTTAATATTCATAACACGCAAAGAATCTTTATGATTTGATTACATTAGAGTTGGTGTGATCTGGTGACCTGTTGAATATATAAAAGAAGTGCAAAGACTCAATGACTCTGCATTTCCTCTTGTTTAACTTTGTGATATGGTGGGTTATAAATTTTGTCAGTTGTAAGAATAGTTTGCTCACTGGGTGGTGGTGGTGCACGCTTTTAGTCCCAGCACTCGGGAGGCAGAGGCAGAGGCAGAGGATCTCTGTGAGTTCGAGACCAGCCTGCTCTACAAGCGCTAGTTCCAGGACAGCCTCCAAAGCCACAGAGAAACCCTGTCTTGAAATACAAAGAATAGTTTGCTTTTCCTATTTTGGCTTTTATCATTCCTGTTCTTCTCTGCAGCCTGAGAATGCTGTCTGCTCTTGTAAGTGTGTTGGGTGTTAGATGCTGTGTATCAAATGGTAAATGCCTTGGATATGGGTGGTTTCTCTGTGAAGCACTGACTGTCTTGAAATTGGGATCCCCCTGCCTATACTGCTGAGTGCAAGGGTAGAGTGTGCCAGTATACCCTGCAACAGAAACTTTTGTTTTTTGGGTTTTTTGTTTTGTTTTGTTTTTTGTTGTTGTTGTTGTTTTTTGGAGACCAAATTTCTCTGTGAAACAGTCCTGGCTGTCCTGGAACTGGAACTTGATTTGTAGATCAGGCTGGCCTGGAACTCACAGAAATCCGCCTGCCTCTGCTTCTGCCTCCAGAGTGCTGGGATTAAAGGCCTATGCCACCACCGCCAGGCCGGAAACCTTGTTTGGAAAACTAATGTGGTGCCCTTGACCAAGACAGTAAGAGCAAGAACAGGTTTGGAGGAGGATGCTTAGTTCCAAATGAGTCTGTTACTGTTTTGATACTGGAGGTACATTGAGGAGGGAGTACCTTTAGAGAGTGAAAAATAGGAATCCAGGGTGGGCGAGGGGTTGGTATAAAGTAGCCAGTTGGGCCACTCATCACATTCAGAAAATGTGAAACATGGATCATGGATTCTTTGATTCTAGAGAGGTTTGAAGCATATGTAGAGAAAAAGGTAAACCTAGGACCCTGGGAAGGGGGACATTTAAGAGGACAACAGAACAACAAGGAGAACTGGGAGAGAATGGTGGGTGGGAAATGATTCCAAATACTACAGGATGAACTAGTGAGATTAAATGTCTGTCAGATGACCTTTGTAAAATTAACAGTTATTGGAAGATAGGCGTGAGAAGAGAATGGGATGTAACTGAATGGGAATACCAGTTAGAAGGCAGAGTTGTTTTAATGCTTAGTACATACCTGTAGCTAAAGCAGGAGGACAAGTTTGAGGCCAGCCTAGGCTAGGTTGCTCAAACAAAACCAACAAGTTGGGCGTGGTGACACACACCTTTAATCCCAGTACTTGGGAAGCAGAGGCAGACCTGTGAGTTCAAGGCCAGCCTCGCCTACCTAGGGCTCTTAACTGCTGAGCCGTGTTTCCTGCCCTACTGAGAGAATTTAACTGAAGTGTTCATGAGAGAATGACTGGGCATGGGATATTTCAAATGGGAGGTGGCTGGGTTGCTGGGATAGAAAAATTTATGCCTGTGAAACAAGAGGAGGCAGAGTTAACAATTAGCATGTGGACTGGATGGAAAAAATGATTATCTTCTTCTTCTTTTTTTTTTTTTTTTTTTTTTTTTTTTTTTTTTTTTTTTTAAAAAGGGGTTTTTTTTTGTTTT